GACCCTGCACGGCCGTGCTACATCCTTGCACGACCGTGCAGGAGTGCTTAAGAATGACTAACGTTCTGCCAAGGCCTACACGACCGTGCTTAAGTTGGCACGCCCGTGCCGATGAGGAGGCACGGCAGTGCAGGAAGAAGCACGCCCGTTTAGGATACCAGCCCCAAGGGAAGAGCTTCTGCCTTGGTCTGCACGGCCGTGCAAAAAGGTAGCACGTCCGTGCAAGGCTGCACGGCCGTGCCAAAGTGTGCACGTCCGTGCGGAAGCAGCCCATGTTCAAAACAGCTTCTGCCTTGCTCTGCACGACCGTGCATAGGGTGGCACGTCCGTGCAGGATGTTCTGCACGGCCGTGCCAAGCCAGCACGTCCGTGCAGACCTCCAGTTTTGCACGTTTCTTGGTTTCTCCGTCCTTTTATTGGGGGTGATATATATACCCATTTTGGCTCTTTTGTAAATACATTCTGATTTTCAGAGATATTAGCCTTAGCTTTTCAATTCCCAAACATCAAATTCTCCATTAATTAGTTAGCTTTCAATCATTGTTTTGGAATTCTTCAACATTCAATCATTTAAGAACAGAAGTTCCTCCATTGTTGCTCAATTTGAAGCTTCATAGTAACTATTTCTAACTCTTGCTTTCCATTTCTTCTAGTTTATTGTTAATTGCTTGCTTAATTCTTGCATGCTTAGATTGTTAATTTAGCTTAATTCCTAGTTTAAACTTGTCATGAATTGCTTAAAAACTCTATTTGCCTTAATTTCCATGGATTGTGAGTAGTCTAATTTCTAGGGGTTGGGTAAAACCCTCAATGTAGTCACAATGAACTTGATGCATGTGCTACTTTGGTTATTGTGGGATGTTAATTAGTTGAGCTAAAGTGGTTTAATTGTTTAGTTCTTGTATATGGCCATTGCTAGAACTAATTATCCAAGCTTTCTCAACGAAGGATCGAGAGATGAACTTGAGTTAGCTCCCTTATGCTTGACTGACTTGAAATGCCATGAGAATAGGAATTTCCGGTCAAGGGAATGTTTATGTCATCGTGATTATGCTTTAACGCTTGGTTTATGCTTTGTAACCACGAGAGTAGGTTGTATTCATGATTCAAGTAATCCCTCTAGCTTGAGAGAGTAGTTGGGTGCCTTAGATGACTTCCCTTAATTTATCCCCTAATTTACCTTGAGTGTTGCATGCTAATACTAATAGTGACTTGTGATGAAGTTGAGTGGCATAACCCAAGCCCTAGATCCCTCTAAATATTGTTAATCTCCCCTTAGCTTTAGTTGAATTGAAATAGTATAAGTTACTCAAAACCAAACCCAATTTCGACTTCATTTAGCTTATTTAAACGGTAGTACTCGGTGGTTGATTCAACGCCTTTCTTGGGTTCGACCCTTTCTTACCCTTACTATTAGCCAGTGAGACCAAGATAGGAGAATTATCTTTGGTAGGCTCGACGACGGCTTATCAAATTTTGGCGCCGTTGCCGGGGAGGCAAAGTCACATTGAATGTATTATTGTTGAATGAGACTAAATGTGTGTATATGTATAGTAGTTTTCTTACCTTAATTTTTGTTTATGTATGTTTGACTTGTGATAGTCATTGCTAACGTTTTTCTTAGCTTTGTTTGACTTTGCATGACACGAAATAGTAAGCAATCACCGCTTATTCCCGTTGATCCAGAGCTAAATAGGACTTTGAGAAACGTGAGGAGACTTTTGCACGGCACACCCGAGTTCTCCATTGTATATTCGGATTCCGATCCGGAAGAGGTTTTTGGAACCTACGAAGAAGACAACATGGGAGAGAATCCACCTCCACCGTTGTTAAGGGACTATGACCACCCCAATGCATTTCAACTTCGGAGTGGTATACGTCTCCCCACCACAAATGCAAACAACTTCGAGCTTTCACCTCAACTCATCCGTATGATTCAAAGCGATCAATTTGGGGGTAGTCCTTATGAGTGTCCTTTTGCTCATTTGGACAACTTTCTTGAATTGTGTACAACTATCAAGCAAAACAACGTTTCGGAAGAGTTTATTCGGATGCACATGTTTCAATTCTCCCTCCGTGATAAAGCAAAGCATTGGTTAAGAACGGTTGAAGAGGGATCGTTGAGTACTTGGGATGAGGTGACTAGAGCTTTTCTTGGGAAGTATTGCCCTCCCAAGAAAACGGTCGAATTAAGACAAAAGATCACCAACTTCAACCAAGAGGTTGATGAAACTTTGAGTGAAGCATGGGAGCGGTTCCAAGATTACACTAGAGCATGCCCTCACCACGGTTTCACCTCATGGATCATAGTGCAAAGCTTCTATGATGGTCTTACTCCTACCTCAAGGGCCAACCTTGATTCGGGAGCCGGGGGTAGCCTTAAAAAGCTATCGGTTGACGAGGCCTTCAAAATGATTGAGGAAGTTGCCAAGCATTATGCTTATGGGGGTGATAAAAGGCAAAGTCAACCCAAAAAGGGCGGTAAGCATGATCTTGAAGCAATAGATCTTATTGCTTTGAAGGTTGATATGTTAGCTCGAAAACTAGATCAAGTGAACAATGTGTCCGGTAGCTCTTCCTCACAAGTCATGTCTTGTGAGACTTGTGGAGGAAACAATCACTTGGCATCCTATTGCAACACTACAATGGAGCATGTGGCTTCACTTGGGAGGAATGATCTTTACTCTCAAACTTATAACCAAAGTTGGAAACAACATCCAAATTTTGGGTGGAAACAACCCAATCAAGCTCCCCCTCCTCAAAACAATTACAACCAAGCTCCTCCTTACAATCAACCACCCCCTCCACAACAACAAGCTAGCTCCCTATCGCCAACCCAACCAAAGAGAAAATGTCCAACAAAGACCCCAATACAATCAAGCCCCTCCTTCTAAAAAATCCAACATTGAATCCAATTTGGAAACCTTCATGACCCAACAAATCAAGATCAATGGGAAAGTTAGTAGCTCAATTCAACAACTCCAAGCACACAACAAGATGTTTGAAAGTCAATTATCTCAAATTGCACAACAAGTTGGGTGCTCCTCTAACCCCGGTGGTCAATTTCCAAGCACAACGGTAAAGAATCCAATAGAGCATGCGAAATCAATCACCTTGATTTTGGAAGGGGGATATGAAGCTCCAATTATGAGAGAATGTTTCCAAAAAGGGAGATGAGGGAGATATTTTGGTAGATGAAAGTGAGTTTGAAAATGAAGTGAGTAAGGAGGCGAGAGGAAGGTCAAAAGGGAGTGATGAGGTTGCCTCAAAGAGAGAAGAGGGAGAAGTGAAGAGCCAAGCTCCATTGAAAGCATATGAGCCTCGTATTCCATTCCCTCAAAGATTGATAGAGAAAAAGCTAAATGAGAAACTTTCCAAGTTCTTTGATGAAATGAAAGGACTTCAATCGAACATTCCACTTCTTCATGATTTGTCAAAAAAGCCTACGTATGCAAAGTTTTTGAAATATATTCTTTCTTACAAGAGTAGGCTTGAGGAGAGTGATTCTATCTCCCTTCCAACGGAAATGCTATTCCTCAAAAGGAGCTTCCCGAGAAGTTTGGTGACCCCGGTAGTTTTGCTATACCGGTGAAGGTTGGGGATCCTGGATCAACAAATGCTTTGTGTGATCTTGGGGCTAGTGTTAGCCTTATGCCTCTCTCTATGGCAAAAAGATTGAACCTTGGGGAGATAAACCCCACCAAAATGTCAATCCAACTAGCCGACCGCTCGGTTAGAGTCCCGTTGGGAGTCTTAAAGGACATCCCAATTGAAGTGGGGAAAGTTCTTGTGCCTTGTGATTTTGTAATTATGGAGATGGATGAGGATTTCAAAATTCCTCTCATATCGGGTAGGCCCTTTATGAAAATTGCGGGTGTTAATATTGATATGAAACAAGGGCGGCTTACCTTACATGTTGGGGATGAAAGAATCTCTTTATCATTTTCGGAAACATTGAATGACCCTATGGTTAAACAAGTTCATCGGGTTGATGTTTTGGTGAATATTTTGAAAGAAGACATAGAGGAGTCACAAGATGTATTGACTCATGCTCCCGGGGTGAAAAAGCAAGAGAGGGCCAAGAAGAAAAAGAGAAACAAGATCAATTTGATGGACAAGTTGTTTGGTTGCATTTCTAGTGATGATAGCAATTTCACTACTACATTTTCGATCAAATACAACGCCAAAAAATGAGCTATTGCAACGCCCTATCCAAATGCCGTGGCAATAGATAGCCTATTGCAACGGTATTTTTATTGCCGTTGCAATAGAGTAGGCTATTGCCACAGAGTTAAAACTAATGCTCTTAGAGGTAGAGCTATTGCCACGGCTCTAAAGAACCGTTGCAATAGCCTAGCTATTTTAACAAAAATGAAAGCTAATGCAACGGTGGTGTTGTATCAAATGAAAATTTTAGATAAAGCGCGCATTTTTCCCTCTAATTTTTTCACCAAAATTTTGAACAAACACACGTGACGTTTACCCCAATTTTCTCACCCATTTTCGTTCTCCACTCATTCTCACAAACTCACAGTTTCATTTTCTCAATTTCCCCCAATTCTCCATTCTCATTCTCACCCAATTTCTCCATTTTCTCAATTTCCCCCAATTCTCCATTTTCTCAATTTCCCCCAATCCTCTATTTTCCCCATCATCTCACATTCAATTCCAGAAATTCTGAGAAAATCACGAAAAAAAAATCAGTCAAAAATTCAAAGTAGTAGACGAAGGTGGTGGCTGATAGCGGCAGTCAGGCGGTGGTGGCGGCAGTCAGGCGGTACAGACGGTCCAATTTCATTGTTGCATGTCCCTTCCTTGAGCTGATTGCTCGAAATTCTCTTCAAGGTAAACAACGAATTTTCGTTTTTGAGAATTAAATTTGAAGTTTTTGCTTTTGTGTTTGGGAATTTGTATTTGATGCCGGAAGATGAAGTTTATGCTTTGGTAACTCTTGGAATTAAACATCTAATGGGTTTCGTTTAGCAAAATTGAGATTTTTATTTTTTTTATTTTGGAAACCTAGAAGTACTGAATATTGTAATTGAGTAGTCTAATGGGATTTTTTTGGGGGAATTTCATATAAATGGATAAGAAGATATATTGATTTAGGGTGGCTGATTTGGTTCAAATTTGTGATCCAAGTTTCTAACTATTTATTTTTGATAATTGGTGGCCGAAATTTGTTTTTTTCATAATTGCATGTGTATACAACTCAATCTGTTAACCAACTGATAAGTCGTGGGCCAAGTGTAAGATTGTTAATTTGATAGAAGAAAGGCATCAATCATGAAGAAACTTGCCTTGTCTACGACACCAAAGTCCTTGGCTCTGGTTGCATCCATGTAAAATGGCCTTCTCATCACATTAGCAACAGTTTCCTCAGACTGATAACAAATATAACAAACAAATTGGTTGAATAAATGTCTCACAAACAGCTTCTGTTTTAGACAGCAAGAAAATCAATGGCATACTTACATTTTCTGTGTGCTTAGCCAATAGTCTCACAAGAGTGTCCCTGTTTATAATTACCTGCAACTCAACGAGATCAAATTCCCACACCAGTTGTCAAGCATAATACTTAATTTAAATTTAAAATGACATGCACCGACATGGTATTTGCTTTCATGAGCTTACATCACTTCTTGAATCTTAAATCAGACACAAAATGATCAGTTATATACAGTGGCATACCTAACTTGGACTCTGTCAAGCTGTGCACTGTGAAATAATCGTTTTAATACCAGGATTTGGATGCTGCCAATACTTTAACATATTGTCCAAATTTAGAAACATATGGACAGATAATATTATCAATTTTTACAGCAATCCAAGATCACATCTGGTATCAGCAAAGAGATTCAAGCAGTTGAATTAAGGCCCACACCCTCCTCAAACTTTAGTTAACCTCCATCGTGTTTGCATAATGGTTTCAAATAAGGGTCACCACATTGTGATGATGACATGATGACCCAACCCAATAGACAGCATTTCACATAAGTCTAAAATTTTACTGGCTTGGGTCACCACATCAGCATGATGACTAGGGTGCTTCAACACCATTAACCTAGCACAGATCCCAGCCAGATAAAGAAACAGCAAGCTAAGACCAGGTTTGACCCTTAATGTTCAAGTAAACATGAAAGTGGAAATAAAACCAGAGGGCTTAACTGGCAGCTCTCAACATTTAAAGCCTGGTATGGAATTCATTTGTAGAGAGAGCAAATTGAATCGATTATAAAGTTTTTGATTTTTGGTGGCTCTTCTGGTCACTGTAAATATTTTGTCATGATTCTTGCTTTACTGTAGACACCTTACCTTATTTCACAATAGGATGTGAAGACACTTTATATGCTTCGTTTTTTGAGAATTAAATTTGAAGTTTTTGCTTTTGTGTTTGGGATGAAGTTGAATATTGATTTGGGGTGGCTGATTTGGTTCATTCATGGGGTAAGACATTAGAGATCCAATTTTATTACTTTTTTCTAATTGCTATAGCCATTGTTCAAGCTCATGTGCGTGCTTGACTAGTTTTGAGTATTCTGATTTTTAGAGTAGTTCTCTTTCTTCCTAGTGGTTGTGAAGCAAATTTTATTAATTAAAATCTCTTAATTCTTAGTGAATTGATTAAATGTTTTTACAGTAAAAATTAATTAAAGTAACCCTCTTAATTCTTATCCTAAGGTATGGATAGTGGAACTAAAGAGTGGTGGATGTTTGCCAAATGGAGTGATGAATATGAGCGGGGAGTAGATGAATATGTACAAAAGGCTTTTGCTTTCAAGTCTCAAGGAAATCAAATTTGTTGTCCTTGTGAAAGTTGTCATTATCGTTTTTGGCGTCATGAAAGTGTTGTGAGAGATCACCTTATTTGTAATGGTTTTGTTCCTCGAACGGATAAGTTATCAGAGTTAGGGATCAACATTAGCATTGAAAGGGAACAGACTATTTTGGACAATGATGAAGGGTCAAACCCAAATGATTTTAATGATGACATAGTAGGCTTGTTGCATGATGCACGTGATGCTTTTACAAATGGGCCAAATGACGAGGCAAAAAAGTTTTATAAGTTAGTTGAAGAGGGCCAGGAAGAATTGTATGTCGGTTGTAAAAATCATTCAAAACTTTCCTTCATGATTCGACTTTTTATCTTGAAGTGTGATCATAAGCTAACTAATGCTGCTTTTGGAGATATATTGGAGCTTATAAGGGAGGTGTTACCTGATGCAAAACTGCCAGCTTCTTTTAATGAAGCAAAAAGTGTTTTGAAAGTGTTGGGGTTAGATTTGTTCAATTGTGATTGTGAAGAAGTTGAGAAATATATAAGGTAAGATTTGTAACCATAATATAGGTTTTTTTTAATGTTTTCATTCTAACTTTGTCGCCTTAGTAAGATAAATATTTTATTTTTACAGTGAGCATAAGATTTGTGTAAGTGCTAAAAGGAAAAGAAAATGGAAAAGTGCTCAAGACCATAGGAAGGATTTCATGGATTGGTTTAGGGAGAAAGTTGATTTGATTCTTAAAGAAGGCCATGATAATATCCAGGACCATATTTTGTGGTTATCAAAAGGTCCCTCTCATGTTGCCAAAAAGCACACAGGGTACTCAGTTAACGGCTATAGGTTTCATACCATGAAGCGAGATGCAAATTGCGTAACTCAAAACAGTGGCGTCACTCTAATAGCCACTATACATAGCTTTGCAAGCTCCAAAGATCAAAATCCTATTGTGGGAAATGTTAATTATTTTGGTTCAGTAACAGAAATCATTGAGATATCCTATCATGGTCATTTCAGTGTTGTCTTATTTAGATGTCAATGGTTTCACTCAGAAAAGGATGATGATGAGCTCATTACGGTTAATATGAATAAGACCGTTTCTAAAGAAGAACCTTTCATCTTAGCAAATCAAGCACATCAAGTGTTTTATGTAGAAGATTTGAATAGAGAAGGGTGGCATTATGCTATTCAAATCCCTCCTAGAGAGTGTTCAGATGGTATTAACATACATTTTTTTAATACTTCACTATATGTTATAAATGAGCTTATTTTACATTGTAATTCTATTCAGTTTATTGTATTTACATTCAAAATTAACATACTTCCATTTTTTTTCCCAGATGAAACGGAGTAGACCCAAAGTTGCTGCTTCCAAAAATCAGCTTACGGATTATGAGCTGCAACGGCTTCAAAAACTGAAAGTCAATGAAGAAAGAATGGAAGCCCTAGGATCGGCATCTCTTGCTAATAAGATACTTGAAGACAAAACAAAAGCCTTATTTTGTCCAAGTGCAATGCTGAATAGTACACCAGAAAATGAGGATGATGCCTCTACGTCGGAATATGATGGTGAAAATGAGGTTGAAACTGACAATCTCACTTCTGGAAAAAGAAAAGCCAGTAAACAGGTGTGTACTTCAATTTTTTCATTTATACAGGCTGTTTTTTTAGTTTGTCACGGTTTACATGTAATTAGTAATGCTTTATTTTCCTTTTGTTTTATAGGTTTCAAAGCAAGTAAATAAATCATCACTTCGCCCCAAAACTATGGCTGATGTTGTGGAAGTGAATAGCCGTAAGAAGCATGCAGTTGATGAAGTTCAGAACATTCAATCACTTAAGGTTGCTAGAGTTCAAGATCAATGCATCCAAAAGAAGGAGCAAGTTATCTCAGAAAAGAAGGGATCAAAACGAGCGTTCTGTTCTCCTGGTTCCATGTCAGCGTACCTCGAGTTTCGGAAAAAGCAAAAAGAAAATAATGAAGCGTTTGTAGCTAGTAATCAGTCATTGAATGATTCTCTTACAAGAAACACAAGGATTTGTGGCGCTGCATTTAATGAGAATGACAATGATGATGCGGATGCACTAAGTAGGTGGCTTGATGAAGCGGATGCACAGAATGAGAATGATGATGATGTTGGTGATGAATATGAAGGTGTTCAACAGATACAAGATGAAGTTCTATCTAACTATGGAAGGGAAGGAATGCAAGGTATTGTTTTTCTCTTACTTCCTCCCCATTTACAATATGAAGGAATGCTCAGTGCGTGTTCATGTTGGTCTTTTCAGCTTTAGTAAACCTTTTAAGTAAAAAATGTGCACAGAAACAGAACCAGAAAAAGAACTTGAAAAAGCTCCTAACAGAAAAAGGCATCGAGGTCCAACAATGCTACCCAAGGTTCATGCACGAACAAGAGACGAGCGTGAAGTTATTATTTTAAACTCACTTGGCCAACCAATTGGACCTACACGGGAAATTGTTCAGGGGTTCAAGCAATTCTTAGGTACTGTGGCAAGGGATTCTGAACTTGCACCACTAAATTATATTAACTTTCCAAGTCTACCCACACTTGACAAAATGTGGGAGTATGTCCAAGTACGTAGTATTATAATTCATTTTGTTGGATTTCATTTTCTACATAATTAATTCCACGTTAATAATTGGACCTCCATATGCTACATACATGTTACATACTAATGTTTTATATTCATGATTTGTTTAGGAAAAATATATGGTTCCTGAAGCTGGAAGAGAATGGGTGATGCAGGCTATCAATGGAAGCTGGAAAGCTCATAAATGCTTTACTAAGAGGAACTACTTCTCTGCATATCCCACTGATGATTTACGATGGTTTCATAAGCCAGACACAATTTCAGAACCTCAATTTAGAGAGCTTTTGCAATACTGGCATTCTAAAGAGGCTGAGGTATTATGTATATGGTTTTGAGCTGGTTTTGTGCAATATTGACATAGTTTCATGACAAAAAAAGTCACTCTTTCAGTTTACTGTTTTTACGTGGTTCAAATTTATAAATCTTGATTGTGTTTTCACATAGGAAATTAGTAAAATCAACAAAGACAATCGCCAAATGTTAGATGATATGCACACTATGGGCCGTAACTCTTACGCAATTTTACGCCATAAGTTGGTAAATAATTCATCTTATTTCTAGGCAATTTTATTAACTTTATAATCTTTATTTTACAATCACTACATGTACATGAGACTTTCACCCCTGCCCTTTAATTATTTGTAATAATCACTTCAATTTTATGTATTTATGTTTCCACAGAAACAACAGGACCCTGATAAGCAAGAACCTTCTCAAGCAAGGGTCTATAAGGAGTCAAGAAAAAGAACGGTGGGAAGGAAATACCTTACCAACCATGAAAAAATAGAAGAGAATATTGTGAGTTAACATTTTAGATGTATGTTATATTTTTTAATTTTGATAAATAATAAGTAGGTGGGTTTATTTCCGTAAATAGGCTAAAATGGATGCTTTGGAGTCTTCCCAACATGGAGATCAAGATGGTAGTAACTCCAAGGACCCTTACTCTGAAGTGATTCCAGATCCTAAGCGCAAAAGCCGTGTACCCTTACAAGGAAAAGGTGTAAAAAAGTCGGATTTGAAGAAAAAAGATAAAAAGTCAGATTTCATATTTCCGACAGAATTTTTAGAAAGTATGCAAACTCAATTAGTACAACAACTTGCACCAAGCGTAACAACTGCAATTTTGACTCAACTTCGGGATGCTAACCCTAGGATCAATCTTGTTATTCCTGATTTTGCAATTCCATCGGCTCCAAAGGATGCATCTAGTGCGCCACATCTTCTTGTTGACCAAAATGGGCAATCTTCTAAATCTGGTGCCACAATTAATCAGGTAACATACAATATTTTCTATTGCTTCTCTCTAGCTTTTTTTTGTTTGCTGGTGACCTGGGAACCTACTGTTGAAATGTTGCTGCTGTTGATGTCTTTTTATAGCCTGCTGCATTTCTAAATTATCAATCAATAAGGACAAGATTCTTGAGTTAGATTCTTGAGTTATCACTCATACTTTCTGTTTTCATCATCCAATTCCTAACCCACCTACTTATTATTGTTGATGTCTTTTTATTGTTGTATGTTTTTTTTGCTGAGTTCATGCTTTTTATAGCCTGTTGCATCTCTAGATTATCAATCAATAAAGACAAGATTCTTGAGTTAGATTCTTGAGTTAGTACTCGTACTTTCTGTTTTCATCATACTACTTGAAATCGTACTACTTGAAATAGCTGCGCTCATCATCTCTGTTTATTATTGTTGTTTTCCCTGTGATTAGCTCCAACAGAACAACCCCAAAGCTGTAAACATCGCCTTTTTCATGCGCCTCTTTTTTTTTTTTTTTTAGGAATCAGAACTGCAGTTTTAAGTTTAGGACTAACAGGAATGTAACTACACACTACATCATTTCTCAGAGTAAGAAACTTAATACTTGTGAGAATTTTTTGGCTTGAAGGCTACGAGTTATCTCTTTATGTATGTCCTTGTGCTGTGCTAATGGAGAGGCACTAGACTCGTTTTCATGGACGGTGTTCCTCAGAGAGTCTCAGACATAGGCTATTTGGGGGGGGGGGGGTTAGCTGGGTTGTCCCTGTCACTGTTTTTGGTCATAATCAGGCGCAGTATAAAAAAAATTTAAGCAATGTACGGGGGCATTAATTTTCTGCACCGTTTTGATATTTTTTTTTTGATTTATTTATTTATTTTTTTTATGGGAGAAGAATGATAAGGAAATTCTTGGTATAAATTTTGGCATCTTTACATACTTACAGTTTTTAGCTTCTCTTAGGTGCACACTTCTAACAATTTTCCTAATGTGCCCCTTCCAGAAATAATGGTGGTAACTTAATTAGTTCACCTACAGTGCATGAATCTGGTGCTTTTGATTCCAGAATACCTTTGATTACTACTTAGTTCTATTTCTTGTTGGTTATTTAGCTAGTACTTTGTTATATTCCGGGGTGCTATTTTGTTTTTTAGACTTGGAATGCTTATCTTTTGGTAATTAATGTGGCTACTGCCACTATAAATTAATAATAATTTCCTTTCCGTGTAAAAAAAAAAATTTATTTGCTGCCATCTTTTAAACAACCATAATCTGAGCTATGTTGATTGTGGCCTTGGTATATTATAATTTATAATTTAGTTCAATTATATTTCTTTTATTTTTTTCAATTTTACGTGTAGGTGTATGGGGAATCAAATGGAGCGGAAGTATAGTGACTAGCCATCTAACAAATGGTGCATATATGTTGGCTACTCTTATTCAAGTTCCGGCTTTATGAAGATTTGGATATTTCGGCTTATATATATGTTGACAATTTGTATTTTGGACGATCAAATTAATTATCTAACTTTTATTAATTATTAGTACGGTACGTATGTCATACCAAAAAAAGGCAAGTAATATTTTGTAATGTACGTATTTTGCATCATAATTATTATATATAAATGATACTTTAATTTGTTTATGTTAGTATATTTAGATTTGTACCGACTAATTAATATTATATTACCATTCACCCAACAAAAAAAAAAATAAAAAACCCAATGATCAATCCGTTGCAGTAGATACGTACTCCTACCATTATTGTATCAATTAGCTTCATCCGTTGCAATAGGTTCAATTTCATCATAATTATTAGTTAGTACTCTATTGCCACGGATAAGTTATGCCGTTGCAACAGGTATTGGTCTATTGCCACGGATCAGTGGTGCCGTGGCATTAGGTGTCATAAGCCGTTGCATTAGACCTACTGCAACGCCAGCAGATGCCACGGTACATGGCCGTTGCATTAGGCCTAATGCCACGGATTTTGACGCCTAATGCAACGGATTTAGGGGTTGCAATAGATCAAAAATGTAGTAGTGAATATTATTTTGCCTAAGGAAAATGGCAAGTGTATGGGAACAATGAGACGGGTCAAAACGGTGTGCCTTGACCCTCCCTAATTATGGATAGCGCAATGTCGTCAAGCTAGTGAGTTTAAAGAAGCGCTTCCGGGAGGCAACCCGAGTATTTTTGTAGTAAATTAACTACAAAAAAAAATAAAAAAATAAAAAAACAAAACGAAGTGCATGTCTTCCAACAACAACCAACAAGAACGAAGGTACCAAGGAGATTCAAGTGTCAAAGAAGACTCGATCCTTTCGTTAGTCTTCTTTCTTCCTTTTTTTTATGTGCTTTTATTGCTTAACATTGAGGACAATGTTTATGATAGCTTGGGGGGAGTCATTTGCTTGCCTTCTTGACATGTTGGTTTGTTTTGGTTGTTTCATTTCCCTAATATCCAAGGCCCTTAATCCAATTTAGCTTCCTTGAAATCCAAACCTCATGTCATGTGAATTTTAGTGTTCCACCTATAGTTAGTAATGTGAATATTTTCGCTTTCTCTTCATAAAAATAATTTTGATGAAAAAATAAATTTGAAAAAAAAATTTGAAAAAAAAATTTGAAAAAAAAATTTGAAAAAAAAAGTTTTGCCCAAGGATGAAACTCAAATGACGATGCTTATATGTTTTTCTTGCTTGACTTTTGAGCGATGAGTAAAAGTTCTTTTAGAAGCTAGGGTGTGTGCAAGAGTTGGGGTTCTTTGAAGGTCTATTAATCTTGATTGCATTAGTGTATATGAAATGAAAGCCAATGAATGCTCAATTGCACGTCTAGCATAGGATATTGTCAAATTTGCCCAAAGTAGGTTATGTTTGAATCAAATTGCGGTCCCTTGTGCCCTTAATGTGCCTCCTGTCCTCCCCGAAATGAAACTTTATTAGGAATTAGCTCTACTTGTATCATGTGTAATAAGTGGCATAATAAGCCACACGTTTCGAATAAAGAAAGAGCTGCTCACAGTTAAAAGAGGCGAGAGCAACGAATGAAAAAAAAAGAGAATAAAAAAAAACAAGAAAATAAGGGAGGACAAAAACTCCCCCAAAATTCTCAAAATTTTGATTTTCTCTGCTTTAGAAGTCAACTTGTGGATGCCTCCCACCCATTGTCTATTATGTTGTTTCTTGTGAAATTCCCGAGTTAGAGTGTAGTTAAGGGGCTTTGGGTGTGCATTTTGGGAGGTGGACTAGCATTTTGAGATTTTATAACCAAAAGAGGGCTTGTTACAACTTTGGAATATCTAGATGTGCTCTAATGAACTAGTAAAAGGTCTAAAGAAGTATCCTAGTGCAACCTTACTTAGTTCCCCTCTTTACCCCCAACTCATGTGTACATTTATATGATTGGTAATTCTTGAAACTTGCTCACTTGACTTCCTAGTGATTTATATCCCGATGAGTTGAGTTGGGTGATAAAAACATTGGAATTTGTGTAGTTTGAAAGTTTTGTTGTGGTTTGTGTGAGTTGTGGGTTAAGCTCAATGGAAACCCTCACGAGATAAAAACTCGTCCTCTAAGGCAACTTAGAGGTTTAAATTCCTTCTCACTTGCGCCAAAAGTGATTGTGGTTGCTACAATGCGGATTAGTGTGTATATGCGTTCTCCTTGTTGCCCAACTATTGTTTTGATTCTAGCAAGTTATTTACCTTCTATGGTTTGAAATTATTGTTTTTCTCGAGGACGAGCAAAAGCTTAGCTTGGGGGGATCTGATAACTTATTATTTAATGTGATTTTAGGGTGTTTTTGAACCTAGTTTACTCGATAAATTTGCGTTTTGGTTCACTTTTACCCTATTATTATGCAATTTCTGTGTATCCTATGCTTCACGGGTTGTTAGTGTTTTTGACGAGATTTCAAGTCCAAAGACGACCAAATGAAGCCCATCGATACAAAGCCGAGATTAGAAGCAAGGGGAAGGTGGAAAGAAGCTAAGTAAAGGAGCAACACATAACAAAAAGATGAGGAAAAGGGCTTAGAAGACCCTGCACGACCGTGCTACATCCTTGCACGACCGTGCAAGAGTGTTCAAGAATGACTAACGTTCTGACAAGGCCTACACGGCCGTGCT